GTGCAAGTGCAAAAGAAGTGTCCATATTTCAACATCCATTTAACTGCACAGCTGAGGAGGTTCCACCTAACCTTCACTTGGAAGCAATTTATCTGCGATTTAATATCATACTAGAAGGCAAATATCGAGAAATTAATAGAATTCCATGAATGCCTTCTCAGTGATGAGTACGCTCAGATAAAATCATATGCTCATGGATTTGAGAGCAGTATTTCTGACTGAAAAGACATTTTCAAAGATGAAGTACATAAAATCTCATTACAGGTGTGCATCAACAGGTGAATGTTTGCAATCAGTTTTGATGACAGGGGATACTAACTTAACTCCAGTAAAGCATATGTTCTCCCCAAAAAGAGATTCCAGTCTTCTCGTTGTTGTTAGGTGCCATTGAGTCAGTTCCAATTCATAGCAACCCTATGTACAACAGAATTAAACACTGCCTGGTCCTGCACCATCCTCACAGTTGTTATGCTTGAGCCCATTGTTGCAGCCACCGTGTCAGTCCCTCTCGTTGAAGGTCTTCCTCTTTTTCACTGACCTTCTACTTTACCAAGCATGTTGTCCTTCTCCAGGGACTGGTCCCTCCTGATACAACATGTCCACAGTATGTGAGACGAAGTCTCACTAGCCTCGCTTCTAGGGAGCATTCTGGTCATACTTCTTCCAAGACAGATTTGTACGTTCTTCTGGCATTCCATGGTATATTCAGTATTCTTCGTCAATACCATAATTCAAAGGCATCAGTTCTTCATCAGTCTTCCTTATTCACTGTCCAGCTCCCGCATGCATATGAGGTGGTTGAAAACACCATGGCTTGGAACATTAGTAGACCTGTATTACAGACAATTGTACTCAGTCATTACTAGTATGTTTTGAGTTTGTCAATTAAAAAAAAAAAAAATCGGGGAAATTTGTCTTCTCTCCTGTTATATAAGTACCTGTATAATACATTAATTTTGCTACATACTCCAAAAAGCCTCAGATATTTACCATTTGGCCCTCTAAAAGTTTCCCAACCCCTGGGCTGGAATATAAACGGAGAGAGTAGCTGTACTTGCTTTGTTCCCGATCTTAGAGGGAAGCATTTCGTCTTCCCCACTAAGTGTAGTATTAGCTGTGAGTGTTGCATAGATGCCCTTCGTCAGGTTGAGGACTCTCCCTTCTTTCTAGTTTGCCGAGAGTTTTTAGCATGTTTGGATATTGGACTTTGTTAGATGCTTTTTCTGTGTGGATTGAGGTGATCAGTGGTTTCTCCTTTTCAGTCTGTTAATACAGACAGTCCCCAGCTTACAGTGGGGTTCCGTTCCAACAACACCATCCTAAGTTGGGTCTGACGTAAGTCAGATACCTAATTTTTTTTTTTTTTTTTTTAGTTTTCATTATTAGCTAAAACCAAACCAAACCTATTGCCATCAAGTCAGTTCCGACTCATAGCGCCCAGTAGGACAGAGTAGAGCTGCCCCATAGGGTTTCCAAGGAGCAGCTGGTGGATTGGAACTGCCGACTCTTTGGTTAGCAGCCATAGCTCTTAACCATTGCACCACCAGGGCCTTTTATTAGAAGTGTTTTTATAAATTCAGCAGTGTTTTGAACAGTAAATCATAAAACTGAACATCTGAGAGTAAACGTCTGAGAATGACCACATCAGCAAATTACAGGCTGCGACATACTACTAATGATAAGATGTACCCCAAAACAACAACATAATGGTCTAAGTGTGGTTGTTTGTAACTCAGATTTGTGTCGGAAACTACCTGTATAGTGAATTACATTGGTGGAGTCAAAGCCCGGTTCATTGTCACCTTTTATGGACCTTTCCTCATTCCCCACTGCCCCCTCTGAATTCTCATAGCACCCTCTTCATACCAGTATTACAGCTTTGTAAATTGTTACAAAGAATGAGCTCACCATATTATATATATTGTTAACAATATGTATTTCATAGCAATATGTTGTAGTGCTTGTTCCATGTCGATCAATGTAGAGCTGCATCACCTTTTTAATGGCTGCATAGTATTCCATTGAACAGATGGCTCATCCTCTTACCCAGGATAGCACATGTGTTGGATTCATCTCGCATGTCAACTCTATGCATAGTGGATGGTAGTGGATATCTTGAGTGCAGTGTTGAGAAGGATTCTGAGGCTCTGTCAGCCTCATCTTGGAGTGTCATCTATAGGTGTCTGTGGTGGTAGAATAAGACCGTAGGGGCATGTGTGGCCAGGTAGTTGGCTCTTCTGATTAACCCAGACCCTGTTGCTGGACATTAAGCGTTTAAGTTGTTTCTGATTTTTTAGTATTATGCATAAGACTTCAGCGAATATCTGGATTTGTATCTTCTTATGTGCTTCCCTGTTTCATGTCCTTAGGGTAGGTTAATAGCAGTAGAGTTTGTGGTTGCCAGTTAGCTTTTTAAATACTTTTGATATGTATTGCCAAATTACCTTCCTGAAGAGTTATCCTAATTAACACTTCTGTGAACAGTGTGTATACCTGACACTCAGTATTGTCATTTCCAATCCTTTTGCATTCTGATAAGTGAAAAATAAAGAAAATGGAAATTAAAATGAGTGAAGCAAACTTGCTTCGCATGTTGAGGTAGGAGTTGACTGTTTTGTGGTAAAGCTCACAGCCCTTTCTAGAGACACTCGTGGGAACGGCCCGCGTACTGCCGTGTAGTGCATTTCAGGCTTGCCTTCCTTAGCCACCTTTTATGCGATGAAGGGACACGTCTCTTCTGCAACCAGTCCCTAGATTTCCAGACTAATCCGGGAGGCATTTTGCCACGTTTGGTTCCAACATTTCGTCTCCCTCTGGACTAGCTCATGTTCATCTGTTTGACCTGAGGGGCAGCCCCCGTTTTCCGTCTGAGCCTGTCGCCTCGTGCACGCATTCATCCTGCACAGCCTGGTGTTTGTGCGATGTCTGCCTAGGTCCAGGCCACGACCAGGAAGTGTCCGGGACTCTTGAGGAGCTTTGGTCTAACAGGAGGAGACAAGCATGTAGACGAGACCTGCAGTAAAGTGTCACACGGTCAATGCACATATATGACTTTTCACAGAGTGCTTTATAGGCTGTCGGTTTGAGGAGCTTTGTTGTTTTCTTTTGAGGGGGGAGTTTTTCTTTGTTGTTGTTGTTTTGTTTTTATAACCAAAAAAGGTTTAATACTATTTTAAAAAGAGAGTTTAGAAAAGTATGTTAGTAATTTATAAAAATAATCCCATTTTCCCAATATGTGTTCCTTTGCTGGAGCCCTGGTGGTGCAGTGGTTAAGAGCTTGGCTGCCAGCCAAAAGGTCAGTGGCTCGAATCCACCGCCGCTCCTTGGAAACCCTATGGGGCAGTTCTGCTCTGTCCTGTAGGGCCACTATGAGTCGGAATCGACTCGACGGCATTGGGTTTGGTTTTGGTTCCTTTTCTAGGCTGTTTTAAAGGATGAAATTAAAATATCCTAGACCTTGAATTCTCCACCGCAGCAGTAGGACCAACACCGAGATCTGCATGGCACTGTGGACTGTTGACGTGGTTTACACTGTTGTCTGAAAGCGTGTACGTTCCAAAGCCTGAGGTGGTCTAAGAGCAGCTTGTTGTCAAGCGTCCTCGCCGCCTGCGCACTGTTTGGTTCTGCAGGGAGACTGGCCGTCTTTGGCTTTGTTCTTGGGTGCTTTGAGTCCCACTGATGGCACCTCGTGGTGAAAGTGGGTGAGAGTGTCCTCGGTCACCTGAACTTGATCTTTTCCTGCAGTATGCAAGAATCCGAACTGTCCTGTTCTCATCCATTTTTAAAGTCTGTCACTGCCTGGGTCTGACTCAGGACAGGTGGAGGCCAAGCGGCCTTGTCTCATCATCCAGATGAATGATATTAGTAACATGGGAGAGGGCAAAGGCCACAGGACAGCTGTAGTGAGTGTGGGCTCTCTGCAGTGGGGAGTTCTCTGTGTGTTGGCGTTTGGGTTCCCTCCTACCTCTTGCAAAGCTGAGGATTTCTGGCGAGCTGTGACTGCTAGCCATAGACACCAGGGGGCGCTCTTTACCCACTGCTGGGCAGACATCACCTTCAAAGGTGCACCCGAGCCTGGGAGGGAGGCCGCCCAGCCCATCACTAGGGCAGCAGCTCTGTGTTATAGGGCCCCACCTCTGTGTCCCTCAGCTGTCCTCGTTTCCACAGCTGTGGAGAGTTCCTTCCTTACAAGTTGGAAGGATGAGATGTCATTGACCTCATCACAGTGATCACCATCATCCCCCACTCTTAGGCAAGCCGGAGCTCTTCTGTGGTTCCTCAACGGGGACGAGGCCTTCCTAAGCTGACAGAGGACCATAAAGGTGGTGTGAAGGGGTGTGGACGAGCTAGACGACACCTGGATCATTCAGCTGCCAGGCTCGTGGTCCATAGGTGCTCAGATGCCCTGATTCCATCAAGTGAACCCCGTGGCTTGTCAGCAGGCGATGCGTCATGGATCATCAGTGCCACCGCGGTTGACATTTGTTGAACTCCAAATGATCGTTCAGTTCTGCGATGCAGAAGATTAGAGTAACAATGTTGAGTCTCAAGTGTCTTCCTTGTTTGTACATGGAGCTGCTCCGTCCCTCTTTCTGGATGTCCCCATCTTGGCCTCCTTGTCGGCTGATGTCAGCCCAGACGACAGCCCTCAGAAACATGGCGTTCGGCAAACCTCCAGTCACTGTGTCCCAGCTCAGTGTGTTTCTGCTTCTGTCTGGTGCATGGTGGGTGCCCAGTACACACGTATCCGGTCGAGGGGGGCAGGCCAACTGGGCAAAGCTGAGTAGCTCACGAGTCCGTCCAGGTGCCTGTTCTGCTGTGCCAAGCTGATGACAGCCTCCTAGGACTTACAGCCAAATTCGTTATTGGCTTTATGAGTAGCAGCCTTCAAAAATTCCTAATCCAGTCGTATCATCTTCTCCATGTCATCTCTGTGAACAGAATCTTAATGTAATTCATTGCCTGCTTAAGATGAAAGATTATGTATTAATTTTTTATAGCGGAGATGAGAAAACAGAGGGAATTCTACCACAAACTGGGCATGGAGGTACCTGGAGACATCAAAGGGGAGACTTGTTCTGCCAAACAACACCTAGATTCCCATCGGAATGGTGAGTAAGCTGCTTCCTTGGTTGTTGAGAAGTTGAGGAAATTTTACTTTTAAAGTTTACTTTGTCTTCTGAGCCTTCCAACAAGTAATGTATATTATAAAGTAGTAAACTTTTTTACATGGGTGCATGGGAAGGGTATTAGGATCCAACGCATTCACCAAGCCTCTTGGCACTGGTGGGATCAGCGGGCAGGGCTGAGAAATGGGGGGTTGTGGATGGGCAGGGTCATGCATGTGAGCCAGGTGAAATGCCCACTCTTCTTAGATGGTGTGATTGTCTCACATAAAATCTAAGATAATCAACTGGAAAATGGTTAGAATTTATTCTTGCTCATTAACAACAACGGGTGCAGCTCCAGGGACGGGGAGGACCAGGTGGATCCCCAAAAATGCCTGGAGATTGGGGTGCAGGGGGAGTGGGGCTACAGGAAAGAAGTAATGAGAGGTGGGCTTCTGTCTTTAACTTTGCTTTACTGTGAGATGCCAAAATTACGTTTTGGTTTCTGTGTAAAGTTCATGATGTTTTTACATCTGTACATATCATAACAGATTATTCAGCTTTTTGAGGACATGAAATTTTTCTAGTAGACCACACAAATTCCTAAGGAATTTCTAGGCCGCCCTGTGTATTGCTAAGAATCTGGAGAAAAATAAGAGGGCCTGGCTGTTGCCACATGGAAAGGTGGAAGACCAACTGTTTCCAACAGTGCTGTGGCTTCCCTGGAGAGGGGAGGTGGTGGGCAACGTTTGGGGAACGTAGTTGGGAATCAGTAAATCTTTCCTGTTTGACCCAAGGTGAAGCCTTAATTTTAAAAACAGTGGAATAATGAAAATCTAGGCTTCATGCTTTATTTACTGAGGCAGGTTGATCTATTAGGCGTGGAATAGCATTGAATTGGCTCCGGCCTCTGAGAGAGGCAGCAGGAGCTTATCTGTTCCTTCCACCAGCTTCTGTCCCAGTCTTTATCTTCTGTGCCTACCTCCTCCCCAAATACACACACCCACAAACCACATGCCCTGGCTCCACTTCCTGTTCATAGCGGTGTCGACGGCGTGGAAGACCCCGCCTTGCAGGAGCGCTGCCCGCGTCCACAGACGTTTTGTGGGATCTTCTGTGGGCTTCCTTCGCCTCTCGTACATGTTCTTTATGATTCACAGTCTCTTATTAGTGTGACTTTTTAATAGCTTTTTGAGTATACTGTAGATGTTTTTTAAAAACTATGATTGGCGTTTTGGATTTCCTAATACAGTATTTTCTGTTTGTGCTGCAAGGTGAAACCAAAACAGAGGACAGTTCCAACAAAGAGACAGCGGAAGAGAAGCAGGAAGAGGATAATGATTATCACAGAAGTGATGAGCAGGTAGAGCATGTGTTCATGTCTGTGGATTTTTAAAAAATCTTCTGTTTTAGCACTTACATTTTACAGTATGTTTCATAAAACCGTAAGAAGAAATTAAATGCACTGGAAAACCTTCTCGTGGAGTGTTTTTATATGTTTAAAAATAAAAAGACTGAGAGAGGAAGAACACAGAGGCGTTAAATTTCAGTACCATCTTTTAGCTTTTTTCCTCCCAACTCCTTTATCTTCCTTCCGCCTCTCCTTCCCTCCTTCCTTCCCTCCTTCCCCCCTTCCTTCCTTCCTTCTTTTCTTGTACTAAAGTAACTATGCTTGCTGTAAACATCTTAAATATAAAAAAACGTTCATTTCACCCTCAACATGCCTTGCGTCTCTTCAGCCCCATTCCCCAGGTGATCGCTGTGAGTAACCTGGCGCCTTTCTGCCAGGAGCCTTTCTGTGCACATACAAATGTCATGTAAGAGAACGTGGAATCGAGTACTGTATTAAAAGAAGAGTAAAAATGGAACTTTGAGGAATCTATTCATGTGTCATTTACTACATTGTGAGATTCAAAAAGAAAAACTAAACCGTCACCAAACCAGTTACTGTCGAGTTAACTCCAGCTCTTGGCGAACCCTGTGTGTTTCAGAGCAGAGCTGTGCTCCGCAGAGTTTTCAGTGGCTGTGACCTTTCAGTAGTAGATCACCAGGCCTTTCTTCTGAGTCACCTCTGGGTAGATTCAGACCACCAGCCTTGCGGTTGGTAGCTGAGCACTTACCATTTGCACCACCTAGGCGTTCGCAGGCAACCACAGAGATGCTGTAAAAGAATTTGATAAAATTCCACGCCCATTTCTACATGAACTTTTAATATAGCTGTCTCAGTTTGAAAACATCATCATCATACTTTATGATGAAAAAGAATCATTGTCTTGTTAAAGTCAGGCACGGGAGAAAGTGCCCATTATCAGCTGTTACTCAACAGGATTTTGGCGGTCCTAGCCCGTGCAATAGGGGAAAAAAAAGAAATGAGATGTGTATATGAGAAATAGAAATGCCGTTATTCTCAGATGGTATCATTGTTACGTAAAACCTAAGACAGTCAACTGAGAAACGGTTAGAATTTATTTGCTGCTCATTGAGATGGTCAGTCAACGTGCAGCAGAAATAGAAACGGGGAAATTTAGGATATGATAAAGTTGGCATTTCAGATCAGTGGAGAAAAGAAAAGTCTAGACTAGTCAACAAAGGCTTTGGGGAAGGAGTCACAGAAACTGTTGTTTAATTGCCCATTGTTCCTCCCACCTTTCTCCTGGTTCTGATTCAGTTTAAATAGCAGGTGTCGTCTGTAGGTTTGGTAGGACTCCTCCGTAAAATCGTCCTATGACGCCCTTTTAATACCTTCTGTGTCTGTTGTCTGTTCACACTTCTGCCTTTCTGAGTCAGCTTTTGTTCTTGTACACTTACCTGAACACTTCTCAGACCTGGAGGAGCCACCTAGGCGGCCGATTGCGATGCAGCCCGGGTGGGGCCCCAGGCCCACAGGTCCTCTCGGCCCCAAGTCCCATCACTGCGGCCGCCCTGATCCCTCCCAGTTACAAGAGCCTAGAACTTTGTCCTTTTTGAGCTTGTTTTTGTATTTATCGGTGTAAACTTGTATATAGTACTCCCGTCTAGTTTTCAGTCTGGCTGCAGAGTTTACCGTTTCAGAAATTCCCAAGGGTTATTACTACTCTCTGCCTTTTTCTTTTGTTATCCCACACATGCCAAAGATTTATCTGTTTTGTTGGTTGCTTTCAAAAGAACCGCTTTTTGTTTTTAATTGACCGAATTTAGCATATTTTTATTCTTTCTCTGGCTTCTTGAGTTAAAACCTTTGTTTATGTGGTTCTTGTCTTTTTTTTTTTTTTTTTTTGTAATGCATTTAAGGCTGAGTGCACTTTTGGCCAGATTCCTTGACTTGAACAAGTAGCAGCCTCCTTAACATTCATTTTTAAAGAGGCCATAGTTTCATTATTTTTTTCCTTTTTAATCCAAGAGTTTTTGAGAAGCGTATTCTTACATCCAAGTGAAGCAGACTGTTTTGGCTGCTGATTTCCTCAGAATTTTTCTTTTCTTTCCTCATTGGTCAGTGGCTGTTGACTGGTTGGGGGAGCTGAGGTTTCTCTCTTCGCCGCTTGTGTCCATGTTTTCCACGGGTGTGGGGAAGAGTCTGTATTTTCTTTCTGGGGCGTTGGCGGTTAGTGGGGTGGTGCAGCACATGGGCTCTCGAGGCCCGTGGCCTATTTACATCCTGGCTCCACCATTGGAAACCCTGGTGGTGCAGTGGTTAAGAGCTATGGCTGCTAACCAAAAGATTGGTGGTTTGAATCCACCAGGTCTCCTTGGAAACTCTATAGGGTAGTTCTACTCTGTCCTGTAGGGTCACTATGAGTCGGAATTGACTTAATGGCAGTGGGTTTGGTTTTTTGGTTTTCTCTACCATTAACCAGTTCATGACCTTGGCAAGTTATTTACCTCTATGCCTCAGTTCCCTATAACAGCAAGCAGATGATGTGTATAAAGTGATTGAAGTCAAATTATTTTTCTACAGTTTTAAGGTCAAAGCAGAGTTCTGATTTCAAAAGAGTCAACATTCTTAAATTTAATTGCATTAGTAGCTATGCAAGAAAGCAGCCAAAGAAAAGCCCCGTGGACTCCCTTTTAACAAGTCCTGTCTGCTTGTCTGTCCTCTCTCTTAAAGGTAAGCATCTGTCTGGAATGCAATAGCAGCAAACTCCGGGGGTTAAAACGGAAATGGATCCGCTGCTCGGCCCAGGCAACAGTCTTACACCTAAAGAAGTTCATCGCCAAAAAACTTAATCTCTCGTCTTTCAACGAGGTATAGTTGAACCATAATAGAAAATATAATAAGTTCTTTCTTATTTGTAAAAGGTGATACTTCTAAAAATCTTTGGGTTTTTATTTTTCTTTTGCAACTTTGTTCAGAGATTTTAAATCAGAAAAAAAAAAAAAATCTCAATTTGTTTTTCCAGATAGTAGGACAGGAGATAGCAGTGGGGATGGTACAGGGTTGGCCTAGGAGAGAGTGCTGGGGGCAGGAGGGCATGAAGCTGTTTTCAAATATGTTCAAGTTTTTCACCACAAGGAAGAATTTGGTTCTTGAATTTCGCAAACATGCTGAACATCCCCTCTGTGTTGCAACAACCAGAGGTCCCTGTCATCCCAGGGTTTGCAGGTTAAGAGGAGACTGGAAGTAGCAGGGTTTTGAGGCGCGGAAGTGTGGAGGAAACTGAGCAAGGAACAATACAGCGGCCATGCTCGCCCACCCAGGACGTGGGCAACGGGCAGGGAGGACAGCAGATGTGGAGGCATTAGGGACTGGTTCCTCTGCGACCTCTGGAGGGCCCCGCTGGGGTTGGGGAGTGGGCCACACGGGGCAGCTCCCGATAATCAGACCTTCCAGAAGAAGAGTGCACTCACTGTCATTGGAGAGACTCAGTTATCTGTTCTTTCATTGAATACTTATTTAAGCAACAATTTTAGGTACTGCCCGTACTGGGAAGAACAACACAAGATAAGGTTCTGCTGTCCTTGATCTTACCCCGGGGTGTGACTGTAGCAATGGACCCTTGATAGGTAGGTAGGTAGGCAGATAGGTAGGTAGATAGGCAGGTAGGTAGGTAGGTAGGTAGGTAGATATGCAGATAGGTAGATAGGTAGAGCAAGTAATTTCAAGTAGTGATAAATGCCGAGAATAAAATAAAGCCTAGTGATCTGGTAGTGTGTAGCGGGGTTGGTGGGTGGAGGGCTGTGTGAACATATCAGCTCAGGCATTATTGGGGAACTCTGCTAAGGTGGTAACACTTACGCTGAGATATAGATTATCATTAGGAGGCAGCCATGCACAGATAACTAGAGAAGAAGCATCGGAAGGACCTTAAGCAGGGGGTGCATGGTTTGATGTATAGTTCTAAAAGATCCCTCAGGCTATGTGTAGAGTGGATTGTTGGGGTGTAGAAATTAGCAGGAGAGGCCAGTTGGGACTGTAGCAGGTGTTCTGGGATGGACCGGGATGGTGGAGTGGGATAGAGAGAAGTGGACAGACTCAGGGTATGTTTTGGAGAGTATAGTGGGTTTCATGGTGGCCCCCAAAAGATATGTCCATGTCCTAGCCCCCAGAACCTGGGAGTGTGACCTCATTTGGAAACAGGATCTTTGCAGATGTAATTAAGGATCTTGAGATGACATCATCCTGGATTACCTGGGTGGATCTCAGATCCAATGATGAATGTCCTTATAAGAGAAAGGCAGAGGGAGATTTGAGACACCCATTGAGGAGAAAGCCATATGAAAACAGAGGCAGAGATTGGAGTGATGTGGACACAAGCCAGGAAACGCCAAAGGCTGTTGACAGCCACCAGAACCTGGAAGAGGCGAGGGAGGATTCTTCCCTAGACCCCCCATAGGGAGTGCTGCCCTGCCAACTCCTTGATTTTCAACTTCTGGCCTCCAGAACTGAGAGAATAATTTTCTGTTGCTTTAAGCCACCCAATTTGTGGTAGTTTGTCACAGCATCCTCAAGAAACGAATACAGATTTTGGTACCAGAATGTGGAATGCTGCTGTAACAAAAAACCAGAAGTGTGGACATGGCTTTGGAATTGGATAATGAGTAGAGGCTGGAAGAATTTTGAGAAACATGGTAGAACTAGGTCTCCTTGAAGAGACCGTTGGTAGGACTGGACATTAAAGGAGATGCTGGCGAGTGCTCAGCAGGAAATGAAGAACATGTTATTGGAAACTGGAGGAAGGGTGATCCTTATTATATGGTGACAGAAAACTTGGCTATACTGTTTTCTACAGTTGTCTGGAAAGCAGAACTTGTAAGCGATGAACTTGGATATTTAGCTGAGGAGATTGTCAAGCAAAGTGTTGAAGGTGCAGCCCGGTTTTTCCATGTTACTTATAGCGAAATGTGAGAGGAAAGAGAAATTGCGGAACTGCTAAGCCAAAGAGAAGTAGCACTTGATGATTTGGGAAATTCATAGCCTACCCAGATTGCAAAAGGTGCTGACAGTAGCAGTTTCGCTGTTAGGAAAGCATGCTCTGGAGAGAAGGCCAAGGGTATGACTGGGCAACTTTTGCTGACGAGATTAGGTGCATGACTCATGGACCCACTCAACCAAATCAGCAGAAGCCAGGACTACAGGTGGGGTTACCCAGGAAAGATCTGGGAGGACTGTCTTGTCTCCTTGGTGTGGCTTTCCATGAAATACACAGGAGACTCACAAGATTTTTTAGAATGTTGTATCAGAAGAAACACTGCCAGCTTGGACTGAAGGGGATGGAGACAGGATGACGTGAAAGAAGGCTACTGGACTTTCAAAATCCTAAAGGCAGGAAAGGGGTGTGGGCGAGGCTTGAGGTGGTGGGGGAGCTGATGTGGGGGTGCAGGTGAGGCTCAGCGTGGGGGTAGGGGGAGGCTTGGGGTAGGAGGGAGTTGGGTGAGTGGGAGTTGGCATGGGGGTGGGGGGGGCTCGTGGTGGGGTCGGGGGAGGCTCGTGGTGGGGTGGGGGAGGCTCGTGGTGGAGTGGGGGAAGGCTTGTGGTGGGGCGTAGGTTGAGGCCATGGTGCTCCAGGCTAGACTGGCGGGAGCAGGAGAAAAATGCGCCTCATCCCCCCACCAGGGGTCTTTCGGGGCTCCCTTTCACCTGTGCTGTGCCAGGTGACAGGACACATCGTTCTATAGCCATCTTAAACATTTTTGATCCTTGAGATCCTCGGGGCTAACCGCTGCTTTCCAGACTCCACATTTCCATTTCTCTCGTGTGCAAACCCTGGGATACGTGCAGGGGTAGAGTGGAAAGCAAGAATGACACAGGCCTCCTGCCACTCTCCAGGTCCCTGGACAGTGACAGTGGAGTGTGGCAAGCAGTGTTGTGGTGTAGAGTGCAGGGCTTAGGGAAAGGAAGGGACCCCCTGCCCTGCGGCTGTTAGGCGCCATCCCTAGCTGAGGCTCAGAGGACAGCAGGCGGCGGGTAGGAGCCACGTGTGAGAAGCAGAGAGCAGCAATGGCTGGGGAGCTCTGAGCCAGAGCACAGTCTGTGTGCGGGCTCAGCCGGAGTGGCGTCAGGAGCCATGATGGCCGGAGCGCCTGCCCAGGGCCTCCCCAGACATGGGGCAGCTCTGAGGGGCCCCCGGGTGGGGAAGGGCCCTCTTCATTCCAGGGACCTGTCTTAGAGGAGGTGGTGACACCCTCCGTACCAGCAACACTGCTGACGAGCTGTGTTCTTTATGTTGCACCGAATTTCTCTTACGGTGTAAGGCAGGGATTAATGAATAAATGAGCCAGGCTGTATTCCCACATGTATTCACTCTCGTGTGATTGGCACTGGGAAGTTTGATCCTTTTAATCTGGAGTAATTGGTAACGTGTGTGAACAGGAAGCCGTGTTTGGCATGCGTATGTCAGCCCTCTCTAAGTCAGATCTCTCTCCTCCCTTAGCTGGACATATTATGCAATGAAGAAATCCTGGGCAAGGACCACACACTCAAATTTGTAGTCGTCACTAGGTGGAGATTCAAGGTGAGACCCTGTTACTTTGTGACAAAGACTTCTACTGGATCCTCAGACTCTGTGACAAGTGGGCAGTTCCTTTTCTGTGCCTATTTTTTACCGAAGATATGAAAACTAATGATTCCATTACAGAGGGAATTGTTGTAAAAGACAGTAGCCATCTTTCAGAAACCCTCGCCTCTGGGATCGGGCTCGGCCCCCTGGGGTGCAGGGCTCCCTATGTCAGAGCCTGGGTCCAGAGGCTCGGTTTATAAACGGGTGGTCTTCTCCTCACATCGTTGCCCCCCCTGCCCCCCAGTGGAGGAGACCAAACGTCGGGGGGTGTGGAGATGGCTCCGCGGTAGCTGGGGAGGGTATGGTCGCTGCAGCTGCAGAGTCTGCCTGGACCTTCGGGCCCCTTTCTGAAGTGGGAGGACCAACTGATGGAGCCGCCATTGTGAGGCTGTGGTTCGAGATGGTGCCGAGGAGAATGGTAGTCGGCATTGGGGCCACAGGCCAGGCTGGAGGGGTGTGAGGGAAAGGGGGGCGGCACAGAGAGAGAGGTGGCTGGGGGGGGCGGGGGCAGCACAGTCAGTGCCCGTGGTCGGGCCCCGAGCTCAGCCGCCCTTGGCACAGGTGGTTAACTAGGTCACCTCTGTCCCAATCTGTCTCCACATCCCTGGGAGCAAGAACATTTTCGACGTCGTCTCTGAAGGTGATTACATGTCATGTCACGCTTCTCAGACCCGTTTCCTCCTGTCCATGCTGAGCCGTTCTCACTGTCCGTTCTCCCCGCCCCGCCCGCCCACTAAGAAGCCGGCTCTGTGTTTTGCAGAAAGCTCCTCTACTGCTGCACTACAGACCCAAGATGGACCTGCTGTGAGCGGGGCTCAGCGGGCCTCGGCCGCGCGGCACAGACTCGGCCCGCGTGGCTGGGCGGGGCCGCGCACGGCCACCGCACTTCAGACGGAACGTCTGTCGCCTCCGGATGTCGCGGGGACCACATTTCTGAATAGAGAATATTTATAACTTTTTGTATGAGAGAATTCACAACTCAACAAGACACTACCAGCACCGCGTTTACAGATGATGAAAACACTTCACAGTTCCACGTAGCAGAAGAGCACTCGCCTCCTTGCTTCCGTTTAGCAGACGGCGTCCTCTGCGCAGTGGGGACGCCTGGAAAGAAGCCCTCCTCCGACACGGACACCTTTGCTTGCTTTCTGGGTCTTGAAAATCTCAGTTCATTTCAGTTCGGTTTATGAGTTAGGTTTCACGATAAGCCTCAAAAATACGTGTTCTTCTATTGACTCCTTCCTAAGTTATTGAGAAAAATTCCCTTTCATGGTGAATGATGATATTTATGTTGCCTTTAGCTTCCTGAAGACTGAGAAAATATATAAAAAATTTAATTTAAAAGCATACCAAAAGAGGTTTCCCTTAATATTATGATTTAATCATGGTATTTACTTTTCCACACCATAACACGTAACAAACACAATAGCTCCCCTCACTGAACCTTTGGGCTGTGTGGCAGTCCAAGGCCATGATCCCTTAGCGTAGCTGCCCATGCTCTTGGGGCCTGTGGTGGGGCAGACACGTCCCCCCACGTCTGGGCGCTGGGCCCAGGCGGGGAGGAGGCACCTTCATCACCAGAATGTCCCACTGATCGTGAAGACAGGGCTCTAGAATCCACGTTCACTCCTCGTTCCGTTCAGCAGGCTAGACCAGGGCTGGGTTTACCAGCATAACGCTGCTTTGCAGAACAAGTCTTGTTTTTAAAAATCACTTTGATTTAAAATGGGTACAAATGGTCCTGTGCCATCATTTCATTTCCCATTTTCACTTTGCTGAAAAGAGAGGTGGCATGGTTTGTGGTGTTCTTTAGGAGCCCGATTCAGTAGGTGCTTCTGAACGGCACAGCCACGTTGCGCGGGTGATGCTTGTCGGGGAAAGCCAGTGCGTTTACACGCATCCCACCTCCGACACCCACAGGCACACAGAGTGGTTTCGACCACGGTCCCCCTTAAAGCAGCCAGGTGTCTGGATAGTTCCCACGGTACCGCCTTCCTCGCTGGTCATGGAAAGACCTCATGTACTTCGTGGCTGCCGTTAATGGAAGTGGGTTTTGTAAGCCAAGCGTGAAGAGGTGTCTGGGGTAGGCAGGTTGAGTAATTCAGAATGGAAAATCATTCCTGTTCAGTAGAAGTTGCTGTTTTGGTTACTTAATAACCTCAAACAGCAGCCACAGTCAGCAGACGCTTTTGTTAACCCCTCTCTCCTCCCAAAGGTTCGTATTTTTGCCGAATTAGAGAAAAACTGTTTCCCCACACATAAACACTTGTTCCTTTAAGATAATAGCTCAAACTTGTGAAGGCAGGAATGAGGAGAAAAGAGCCATTTTCGAGAGTGCTTCAGGGTCTTGGAGTTTTCGTTGTTAACCTCCTGAAGTTTGCAGAACAAGTCCGGACGTTCCGGGTTTATTTCTTGGTGAACTGTTGGGTTCCTCCTCCCCTTTTTATATACATTCCCAGCAGGTTACAAGGTGGGCTGGTTTTAACCACAGGTGCCGTTGATGCCAGCGTGCACCGTGACCCAGACAAGGTCTCCTCGTCCCCAGGGAGCTGCGGTGGGCGCCACTCACACCTCTGTTAAAGTCCAGGTGGTTCTCTGATGGCGTCCGTGAGGGCTCCGTTCTTCATGAAGTATTTCATGTTAGTGACTAGCTTTTTTTTTTCTTGAATTTCCTTTGAAAGTTACGTTTGGGCTCATCGATGTTCAATTTTCTTTGCTTTTTTCTTCTGCTTCCTATCTCATATATGGAAAACATCGGAAGCAGCTACTAATGAGACCTAATTTTAGTTGTGAGAAACGCATTCAAATTAATTCAGTCCAAGCAATTTTAACATAAAGCCTTTTTAAAACATAGAAACAGATTCTTTGTTCGGAATTGTTCAAAACTCGCCTATTTTAGCCCATCAGCTCCCCGTACTGTTTGAATTGTTCAATTACCTAAGCTTGCTATTCATCCAAATCATTTTTTAGAGTTACTATACAAGGGTTTAAAGAGTAGATATGTGTGAGTAAATATTACCTGTCTACCTCAATATATACATACTGCTGAAGCATTCTGTCAAACCATATATTATCATCACAATGCAGTTTTAAGTCTCATGTTAGAATTTAGGTATTTTCCCATGTGGTGAAACTGAGGAAAGCTTAAACAGTATGAACATCCAAATTCAAAGAAAATCAACTCACGGTTCAGATTCAGCGTAATGTCGCTATAGTAATCTCATAAGATGTATTTGTAACTTGGTAGTTACCTTCGAAATCACTTGAATTTGCTATGGTGCTAAGCCGATAAACTCAAAATACGCAGAGAGATGTAGATAAGCTGAAGCCAGTATTAACATCTCCGCAGGTCGACGATCATCATTGTATAATTCTGCTTTTGTAACTGTGTCAACCTGATAAAACCTCAGCCACAAAAGTACCTATTTTTCTAAAATCCCATCACGCCAGACGACCGTCACCGCGGGAGGATTCCCTGGGTGACCTGCCTCTTGTGGTCTCTCTTTGTAGCCTTACTTAGTCGGAAGAATGGAAGAGAAGCGAACCTTGCCATCAGAGGGAAGCTTCCGGGTGGGTTCCTTTCATCTCTGTTAAGCTTTCATTTAGCGTCAAAAGGCTGACTTTTCCTTTCCTCCAGCACGAAAGCCAGGATCAGTTAGTGATCGGACCCTATCGAGTCTGTTGTTTTGTCTCTTTGTTTAAACATGGAGTTACTGTGAAGTAGTTTTCACAGCTGTCTATGCTGGTGAAGCAAATGCTGTTGGATTACCCGACGGCATCGTCTTTGACAGCGCTGGGACCAATGACCCAGCACACGGTCCCTCTAGATACAGTTTTCATGAAAATAGAAAATGCAGATAGAATATATAATATTGAATTTAAGATTTGGGGGGTTAAAAAAAAAAAAAAAGAAACTTTATAAGATTATTTATTCTATTTTAAGCCTTCTATCATATTTTCCATCCAGTCGTGTGGTTTCTGTGGCCCAGCTTTATTTACAGGCATATAAAATGAAATTGTGAGATGTTTTGCAAGCTTCTTTTTACTTTGAATAGCTTTTAATTTGTACATTTTTGTTTTCTATGGATGAAGAGCATTTTTTTATGCTTCTGTGCAATAGGTTCAAACACGCATTTATCAGACAATATGTTGAAATTGTAATGTAGCATCTATTCTGCTAAGTTGAAAAGGGAACGTAGGTGGAATTTCAGAATATGTACATTCAGCTATTTGGTTTTTCCTTTTTCATTGTTAACCCTAAGAATGCTATTACCGGGATTGTGTGTGTGTGTGTGTGTGTGTGTGTGTGTGTGTGTGTGTGAGTGCGTGTGCAAGAACTACCTGTTAGCAATACTTAAAAAGTAATGCGCAAGCAAGCATCGCGTGACATGTGGGTGATCTGAAGACCAGCCTCCCGCTGCCCCGTCAAGTCGCCGAGGGCCTGCCTGGGTCTCTTTATGGCTGGGCCGCAGCGGACACACCACCGCCCCCCCCCGGGCACACAGGACCGCACTCGGGTGGCAGACAGGACAGTGCTACTTCCTGGAGCCGCCATGCCCGCCTGCGGCGCGCTCGAGCAGTCGTGGAGATGGGCTTGCTTTCCACCAGAGGGTACATACAATGGTATTTACAGTGATTTGAAATGGGCCGTTGGATTAAATGTTCCAGGAACAAGCCAACTGATTTATACGTTGTATGTGAATATTTGGTATCTTCTCAAAACATTGAAAATTAAACGTGATGCAGACAGCTAAATTCACAGACACATAAAAATCCACATTTCTCTATTTCCTCAGGAAATCATTGGAGCTCCTCCACATCACGTGTGCCCTTACCATGACAAACCAGTGTGCTTCTCAGCCTTGGGATTTAAATAAACTAGGTAGATAAATTGGGGTAAGTAGACTAGAAATCATCATTCCAGTTCTACCTTCATCTTTACAAATATCCTGTTCCCTGCCTGCCACCAGCTGGCCGGGCGGCCTGGCAGCTCGGGCGCGGGGTCGCCCTATCAGAACTTGATCAAGGGGCCCACAGCCGCCTCCTTCACACCCACGTGTACTTCACGCATATCCGGGAGTGTACTTGAAGAATGGACTTACGCTTGAGTGTCCCCTACAATGTACATGTAGCGTTAAGGGTCAGTGTCTCCTCCAGTACCTTTATTGGGCATAAGAAAAAGCCTTTTTTTCCCAATGAAATCAATTTAGGGTTAAGGGACAGTAGTCAGTTCAACCACTAAGCCTTTATCATCAGCGTGTGGCAAAACGAGAGAGAAAAGCTGTCACGGTTTATGGAAGTGATCACACAGATACATATTTTTGACAGTTTAATTTGAAAGTTTACATTTTTTTTATGCTTTGTGTTGGTGTGTAATTTTTGTACTCTTGGTGGGTAGTTTTTGTCTACAATCTTTTGCAATATTGCTTAAATGTTTTGATTTTATGATAGTGAAGCTTGTATTCTGTGTTTTGCCAATTAATATTATATGCTTGTAATAAAAGCAGAAGAAAACTTAAGTTCTTTCAGGCTGGAAATTTATTATCTAACATCCTTATGTAAGCGTATACGATGATCAGGCAGCGTAATGAAGAACACTGGAGGTTTTGGTGGAAACCACGAGAATAGTCCTTGACTTTAGCACGCACGTGCGATCACACGTGCGCGCGCGCGCACGCACACGCGCGCACACACGGTCCTTCCCTCCCCCATCCTCCCCGCCCTCCTTGTAGGCTAATCACCTTCACTGCTTTGTTACACTCAGCCTTTGTAAAATGTCACCCTGGGTAGGAAACTTTATTTAAATTAATCCAGCGTTCGGACCGGAGGTTTGGTGGAGACTGTGTAAAGTTCGTGCTGTTCGTCTGTTTACCTGGAGAGAGAATTTGCTTTGGTTTGAAGCTGGGTATGTCAATGAAAATACTGTTTAAAAAACGAAAACCCATGTGGTAAAATTCCTACTTGTAGATGGTTGACTGACAGGCCAGTATTCTGTTTCCTATATTAGACAATGAGCAGAAAGCACTATGGCCAAAAATTTAGTTTTCAAAGGTTAAGTCATGTAAAGCAATGTTGTTTACTCTGGCAGAAAATTGGAGAAAACTAGAGCTGGCAGGAAGGGACAGTATGATGACCTAATTGTATTCTCTCACGGGCTCAAGATCGTTAAGCTTAAAAGATGAGTTGAGTCTAAAGAAACAGACTTAAAGTTTGGTGGTCATTGTATTTATTTTGAGTAAGTTATTTACTCCATCTTACGAATGTCCAGATAGTGGCTGAAATGACATGTAACCATTTTTGTTCACTTAGAGTAAGCCGCAGGGCAGTTTCAAAATGAGTTCACATTAGGTCCCATCTGCTGGGTCTCATGTCAGCCGCATGTGAAGACATCCCTCCTGTGCCCACCTTGCTGTGTGAGGTCAGAGGGCACCTCGGGGGTCTCAGTGGGCACCTCAGGAGTCTGAGTCCTTCAGGTGGATTCTCCGAGCTCTGCCCACAGACCCAAACACCACCATGCATGTGGAGCAAGACAGCTCTGCACAGCCACAGCTGCTCAAGTAAATGAGTTCTAATGCCCCATTAAGGAACCCTGGTGGCACAATGGTTAACTGCTTAGCTGCTAACCAAAAGGTTGGCGGTTCAAACCCACCCCCAGCAGCATCACGGGAGAAAGAGCTGGTGATGTGCTCCTGTAAAAATTACAGCCTAGAAAACCCTATGGGGCTGGTACAACCGTAGTGGAAAACAGTGTGGTGGTTCCTCAAAAAACTAAAAATAGAACTACCATATGACCCAGCAATTCTACTCATATACGCAAAAGACTGGAAAGCAGAGATTTATACAACAATGTTCATTGCAACACTATTCACAATAGTCAAAAGTGGAAACAACCTAAATGCCCGTCAACAAATGAACGGATAAACAAAATGGTACATACATGCAGTGGAATGCTACTTAGCCAGTAGGAGAAATGAAGTCTTGATACATGCCACAGTATCAATGGAGCGTGACAACATGCTGAGTGAAATAAGCCAGTCACAAAAGGACAAGTACTATATGACCTCACTTACATAAAAAGATAAGAACAGGCAAATGTATAGAGACCAAATTTTATTAGTGGAGTGGGAAAAGGGAAGTTATTGCTTATGGAGCACTGAGTTTCGATTTACAGTGATGGAAAAAATCGCGTTGATTAAGGGTAGGGTTGCACAACCGATTATTGTAAATGTCAGTAAGTTGTGCACCTTTAAAATTTTGAAATGGCAGAAGTTGTGTGACGTGTTTACAACAATGACAAAAAAAAAATTGCTGAGACTGCTTATGTACAACCAAACACCTCATGGGATTTGGATTCTTTGGAGGTTTAGGGTCATGGTTTCATGGGACATCCCAGTTAAATGGCCTGATAATGTGTTTAGTGCCTCTGTTCTACCTACTAGTTTGTTGCTAAGTCCTGGGGTCTTAAAAGCTTGCAAATGGTCGTCCAAGGCACAACAATTGGTCTCTATTCACCTGGAGCAACAGAGGAAGGAGAATTAGGAATAGGAGGAGGATATGGAATGCGTGGCTAATTGCCTCCATGAGCAACTGCCTCCTTTGCCATGAAACCAGAAGAACTGGATGGTGCCCGGCTACCATTACTGAACATTTCGATCAAAGATTGTATAGAAGAATCCTGATCAAAAGGGGATGTGACGGTTAAGATTGTGTGTCAGCTTGGCTGGGCCATGATTCTCAGTGTTTTAATGTAATCACTCCCGTGATTGAATATACTGTGAGTAGCCAATCAGATGAAAGGGAGTCTCCTTGGAGGTGTGGCCTGCATCTGTATATAAGCAGACGTTCTGGCTTTTTGCTCTCTGTGGGTCCTGTGGCTGCTTCCTGTCGTCTCATTTCCCGTTCTTGGGACTTGAACTGTCAGCTTATCTGCCGAACCTGGGAATCGTCGATCTGCGCAGCCTGTGAGTGGGAGCCCTGTTCTCTGACCTGCCGATCTTGGGCTTGCCAGCTTCTGCAGCCGTGTGACCTGGAAGAGGCCTCTACCCTGATCCACGGACTTGGGACGTTCTAGTCTCTACAATCACGTGAGCTGTTTCCTTGATATAATCTCTGTCTGTATATAGATTTATACACTTTACTGGTTTTGCTTTTCTAGAGAACCCAGCCTAAGACAGGGTAAATGGAGAACAGAACTTCAAGTTCTCATGAATTCCAGACTTTCTGGAGCCATGGAGGCTGGATGGCCCTGAAAGTATTGCCCTGAGATAATTTTTAAGCCTTAAACCAAAAAATATCCCCCGAAGTCTTCTTTAAACCAAACAATGTTATGGTTGTATGACATCCAGTTAATTCTGACTCATAGCGACCTCATGTGACAGAGCAGAACTGCCCCATAGCGTTTCCTAGGCTGCAATCTTTACAGAAGCAGATAGCCAGGTCATTCTCCAGTGGAGCCACTGGTGGGTTCGAACTGCCCACCTTACAACTAACAGCCAAGCACTTAACGATTGCACCACCAGGGCTCCCCAAACCAAACAACAGTGTAGCTTAACCAGTAAAAAATATCTGCCTTTTATGGCATCTATATGGGATCAAATTGACAAAAGCAATGCAAAAGATTAGATAGGAACCTTAGGGGCAGTGAGTTTATGTGAATGGGGGAGGAACAACTCAGAAAAGGAAGGTGAGAATGGTTGCACAACTCGAAGAATGTAATCAATGTCAATTGTGCGTGTTGAAACTGTTGAATTGGTGTATGTTTTGTTGTGTAGATTAACAACAACAACAAAACCCTATGGGGCAGGTCTGCTCAGTCACATGGGGTCGCTAGAAGTCAAAAATTGACTCAAAGGCATCTAACAACAATAACAACAATGCCCCATTAAAAAGTAACTTGAGAAGAAGGACCCTGGATTTCCACGGTTCCCCATTCCTCCTCTCCTCACAGCCTTCCTTTCTGCATCAGCCTTAGAAAGCAGCATGTGAGCGGCCATCTGCCATTCTCCCCGCATTGCCAACTTTTCTGTGTTTTTTTTTTTTTTGCCTTTGCAGGCAGTTTGGTTCCTCTGTGCCATTCTATGTATGTGTGAAAATGTTAAAATCTCCTTTTAAACACAAGTGTTCTGCCATACTAGATGTGATTGTGTGAAGGCCAAACTCAGTCCCTCTAAAATATAAGATACACAGCAAGAGAAAAACCAGTTGCCATCAAGTCAACCCTGATTCACAGCTACCCTATATGTGTCAGAGTAAAACTGTACTCCATAGGGTT